AAACTACCAAAAAAATTTCCTTTGAAAGAAAAAAAAAAAACAAAGCCAAAGATTATGAATTTAAAAAAAAAAAAAAAAACTTAAGTAACTTACCATCTTGAGTAGAATACGTGATGCCACCTCTTCATATTGGTCGATCGTTGAGAATACGGTAAGAACCAGGCAAGCAAACACCATAAAAAACCTGAAAAAAATTCACAATTTTCAAATCGATTAAAATTCAATCAAAACAATTCAAGCGAAAGAAAGAATATTCCATGTCCGTTTCTCAGTGATTAAATTTCACAGTCATTTTTCTTTTCTATTAAGAAAAAAACTCACACCATAATATGATAAATAATGGAAAATTTTCCATTTGGTATTTCAAAAAAATTATTCATATGTAATTGATAACGACGAAATTTTTGATCATGTCGCCAACAACAATAATAATAATAATAATAATGATAACCATTATGATTATGATCACGATGATTACCCGCAATACTTGATCGATTTCTTCGATGATGATTAGGATGATGATGAAACATTTGTTTAAATGATTGTTGTTGTTGTTGTTGTTGTGTCATCATTGTTTCATCATCAGGATAAGCTATGGTTGATGAAAGATTCGGATTTTTTTTAGCAGTGAAAAATTTTGAAAAATGACGCTTCCATTGGCTAATATTATCATTATTATTGTTACCCGTAACAGTAACATTATTATCATCATTATCCATAACAATCACATTTTTCATTTTCATTTTGGCCATTGTTTTTTGTTTTCAATGGCAATGATGAGCAAATTTCAATTGGAAATTGATTTTGTTCATTTCAATTCGATTTCATCACTTTCACAAGCAAACAAACACAAAACGATGAAAGCAATCAACTAAATGAGAAAAAAATCTAGCTAAAAAAAGGAAACCAAAAACCGAAAATCCACAACGACACACACAGACGATAAAATTTCGAATCACAAAATGAAAAAAATATTTTGTTGTTGTTGTTGCTTGTGGCATTTTCCGCCAAACCGAAAAAAAACACATTTTGCTATCGGGAATCCGTGCATGAATGATGCTGATGATGACATACATACATCACGTTCAACGAATATTCATCTTAATCGATTGCTTATCATCATCAACATCATTTTTCCGTTCTAATTCTGGTTATGATGCGCAAATGTTGCGTAGATTTCGTCTGACTGACTGAATGGCTGACTGACTGACTGAATGAATGAATGAAGGAAAAGACTGCAAAAACCTAATAGGAAATGAATGCCAAACAACCAAATAAAAATATCGGTCATCAAAAGCAACAACAACAACAACAACAGCAGAAAGCACAGAATTGGATGTAATCAAAAACCAAACAAAATGGCTTATGGTAAAATACCTATATTCAGAATATAGTTTTTCAAGCTAAAATTTTTTTTTTTTTTTTTGAATAGACTCTCTGTGTCCATTTTTTTTCTTTTGAAAAATCCTAAATGATACTTGAGTATGGAGATGATGTTGATCATTTTGGATATCAAATTACATTATTCTGGCTATTTGCATCTCTTTGTTCAAGTACCTATAATATTAAAGTAATCTAAACATTGTAATTCAACTATAAATCATCAACGAATGTTGAAGAAAAAAAAACATGATAATTATTAAATTATCTAGGATCAATCAATCAATAGGAAAAAACAATAGCCACAAATCAAAGTGATTTGGTTTTATGGAAAAAAAATTATTCTTATTGTTATTATAATGAAGAAACGAGAACAATAATATCCACATTGAAAATCATAACATGAAAAAATCATTTTTCGTAATGTAAAACCAGAAATGATTTCCATTAACTTGGGTATACAATAATAATCAATTATCATTCGCAGCAAGTGCAACCAAAAAACTTTGTTTATCACACTTTTTGTTTTTCGTTTTTACTTTTGTTTTTTGTTTTGTTTTGTTTTTTTTTGTTGTTGTTGTCCTGGATATCTCTATCTCCCATTGGGTTTATTGTGGTTTTTAGGCTTTGGTTTTGGTTTCATGGTCGACTAAATTCAATGAGAATAAAATGACCATTTTTTTTGGGGTGATGATAATGGTCATTTCACACAACTTTGATCAAATGATAAATCATTTGTTTATCATCACTAAATCAAGAAATGAAATGAAATGAACAACAAACTTTTCCATTTCTTTTGAGTTTAACACTTTTTCACTCTCATCTATCTTTAAGTTTTAATGCGAAGAACAATAGAGAATCGAATAGTCACTTTTCTCAGTTAATTAATAAAATAATAATAATCATTATTATTTCATTTCAAAACACAATGCGAATTATGTTATGTTCACAAGTTGTATGACATTTTCATTTTTATTTGCTCATATTGCAGATAATCTTTTCAGACAGACAATCATGCTAAGTCTTCTATGTTGTGTCTGTTTTATGAGTGATGGCAGTTACTAATATCAAAACAAAAATTGTCATGGAAATCTTTATTTATAGGTTATATATAAATTCATCAAAAAACATATCATATCACACCTCTTGTGAAACAAAAGAATATTTTTCTTTCTTTTGGGCTAAAAATGAATAATTAATTAGTTATTATCAACAACAATAATCTATCTGTATCATATAAATAAACAAACAGAGAAATGTGTGAAAACAAATATTTTTGTCAGCTTAAAAATTTAAAAAAATATGTAAATTTAGACTTTTTTACCACTAAGTCATAGTCAGAGTCATTGAAAAGTTGTATAGTGAAGTCAAGTGAGGTTAGGTTGATGACTATGATTCATGGTGGAGTGAGGTTAGGTTGATGACTATGATTCATAGTTGAGTGAGGTTAGGTTGATGACTATGATTCATAGTTGAGTGAGGTTAGGTTGATGACTATGATTCACAGTTGAGTGAGGTTAGGTTGATGACTATGATTCATAGTTGAGTGAGGTTAGGTTGATGACTAAAAATCATGAAATCTTTGAAGACAAAAAAAAAACTTGCGCATGATTCACTTGTAATTTATTTTTGAAAAAAAAAATTTGGCCAACCAACCAATTGGCACAATACTCATCATCATCATGATTCAATTGATGGTGAATGTTGATTTTTTCATTCACTAAACAACTATCGGTCCATCAATGGTCGAACAATTTTCCTCATCCAAACAAACAAACAAACAAAAAAATAACAAATCAAACTAAAATAATAAAATATTTACGCAAAAAAAAACAAAATCAACATTATTAAATCCATTTGAATTTACAATTCTATCTCCCTCATTCGTACACAAAAGCGAATAAAAAATTCAAGAAACCAAACCAAACCGACAAAAAGATTATGGAAATATTCGTTGCACAAATATATCGATGATCAGAAATTGAATTTGAAATCGAATCGATTTCTAATATAGATCGAGAGAGAATGAGAAAGACCGATGCAATAATAATAATGACAATAAACATACAATATTATTTTCGGACAGTGAGAAAGAAAAATATTAAAGTTTTCTTTCTTTCTTTCTTTGAAACGAATGAAAAAAGAATATCATCATCATCATTGATGTGATGGCATGTAATGTGCATTGTGGCCATTCAAAAAGAAGGACATTCTTTTCGTTTTTCTTTTCTTTTCTTTTCTTTCTTCACAATATCCATGATATCAAATTAAAGTTCATGTTTCCATCATCATCATCAGTGATGAGAAGGAATTCACTATATTCCTTCACTGATATGTTCAATATAATCAACACATTTTTTTCCACAATTGAATAATATAGTATATTGCCCATTCTCGATGCCAATTTCAACCAAAAAAAAAAAAAAAATGAGAACACAATCCCAACAGATTGAAAACACGCAATGAGATAGTGAGTGAAAAAAAATATTTACCGTTTTTTTTTGTTTTGCTTCAGGATTTTCTTTCCACTCTGAAAACAAAACAAAACAAACAAACATCGATTCTGATGATGGTCATCATCATCATCTGATGACCTGTGATTATTATTTTTGTATAAGCAAACAATGGCTTTATATTAATCACATTTATCAATTAAGTTCTTCAATTTGTGTGTGTGTTTAGTAATGGCAGATAGAATTCCAATCATGTTTCAAACAAGGAACAAGGAAATAAACAAACAAACATTACATCATCCTTAACATTATTATGTCTGGAACGAATAATAATGATAACAACGCCATCTTGTATTTCCGATGTGAAAAAAACAAAATATATTTTTTATTTAAAAAGAAAATATACTTACATTATTAAATGATAAAACATTGGTGAATAACCACGTGGTCGTTCAAGAAAATTATGTAAATCATTTTGTAATTGTTTATAACGTGGATTTGTTATATGACGATGTGGACGACAATGTATTGGCCGTCCTAATAAACTAACACGATGCATTTGTGAACGTTTTGAGGCACGAAATGTATTATAAGCTGATGATAATGATGAACGTTGATGTTGATTGGTTGTCGTAGTTGTTGTTGATGATGAACGTAAAAATCTAAGCAAATCAGATTCACGACGTAATTGAGTTTTGGTTTCTTCATCATCATCTTCTTCATCGTCTTCGATCATCGATTCATCAATTGAATCATTATTTTCCATTTCATATTTTTGCCGTTTGTTATCTCCCAAATCATATTGATTATTATCATCATCATTATGACCATCAACCGAAACAACGACTGATTCGTTGATTCGTTGATCATCCAACAAACCATCATTAACAGGATGACGACCATGATGATGATGTTGATTACGATAACTACGATGATGATCCATAATAAATTCAACACGTCGTTTGAATGGTAATTTTCTTTTGGATTTTTTCTCCTCTTCATCATCACCACCACCATCACCACTACCGCCACCAACATGGTTCGGTAATTGTTTCATTTCCATCAATGATATCGTTTTCCAGTCACGTGATGATTGATGATGATGATGCAAACCATATTCTTCATCATCATCATCATTTGTCTTAGTAGTAGTAACTATTTCATCCAATTCAATCGTAGTAGTAGTAGTAGTTGTTGTTGTTTTGGTTGTTTTTCTTTTACGAAAACATTTCCGTTTTAATAATTTTTGTTTCAAATCAACATTAGGATCAGTAATAAATATCAATGTTGTTTCATCTTGTTGTTGTTGTTGTTGTTTTCCATGACCATCATCATCATCATTATCTATTTTATCGATAGGAAATGACTGAATCATAAAATGATTTATAATCATCATCATCATCAAAGCAATCAAAAAAAAAATACCAACTTTCACAATGATTCCATCATGGTCATTATTATCATCATCAGTGTTATGAGTATCACTACTATTACAACTACCACAGGTCAATTGACAACTTGGTGATTCGGATGTTGAAGATGATGATGCGGATGCGGATGAGGATGTGGAAGATTTATTCAAACAACAATAACATTGATTTGTTATATTAGATGTGGTTGTTGTTGTACCGCTACTAATGGTTGTATCACAATAAGAGCAGGAACAACAATTATTATCATCAGTAATAGTGTTAGTAATGGTGTTATTCAATGATGATTTTGATGATAATGATGATGAATTTCGATATAAAACTGTTGATTTGTTATTATTAATATTAGTGTTATTATCATTCAAATCATCATCATTATTATTATTACTATTATTAGTGATTTGTATGGAATCGGAATTCATCATCATAATTTGTTTTTTTATAACCAATCAAAAATCGTTGATTCAAAACAACATTTTTTTCTTGTTTAAAATCAAATCATATTACATTCTCATAATGATAACGATCTTCTGCTTTGTTTTCTGCACGCAAACACACAAATTACAAACAAACAAATATATTATTCATAATTTTCATTTTTTTTCGATGATGGTGGTGGTAAAATCATGTTTACATTTTTTTTAAAAATAATTTTTTGCTGTTGTTGTTGCGTTAATAACAAGAAATTCTGATATAAATCAATGGAAGAAGAAGAAGAAGAATCAGAACCAAAAATGGATGCCAAGAAAACAAAAAGCATGCGCATCATCTTCAAACAAACAAAAAAATTTATTTATTTTGTAATTTTCTTTCAAATTTGAATCGTTCACAAGCAACGTTCAACCAATGTTACCAAAATCAACAAAGAAATCAACAATCAGGGAGATTCAGGTAAACTATATTTTCAATCTTGTTTCACTATTTATAATAACAAATAATGTTTCTATTGTAATCACTTTTGCTTTTGTTGAAAATATCTTTTTTATTTGGATTGAAAATTAGGAAAATAAGAAAAGGAAATTGAATATGATGAGGATGATGGTGCCCTGAGAAAATCAACAAAAAAAACGACAACAACAACAACAAACAAGCGACAAACAACAACAGAAGATGAAAAAAAAAATCGAAAACTACCATCACTATTATCATCAATATCATATACAGGGAAAAAATATATAATATTGTCCACCACCACCACCATCATCATCATAAATAAACAGGAACCATAATAAAGGTAACGTGTTAACAAAATGAAAAATCCTGAAAAAAAAGATGACACCAAACATATTAAATTGATGTTGAGATTTTTCATTCTTTTATATGGTTATTCTTTTTTTCATTGTATTTTTTTGTGAAAAACATCATCATCAACGAAATAATGTTGTGTGTGTGTTAGTGACAACAGCCCAAAACATCAACTACGTGAAAACATCTTTGGTAAACGCTAATCATATATATAAAGAAAAATACCAAGAATTTTATAACAAATGATCTCATTCTATGTAAGGTAAGTAGGTAGAAATAGATTTTCTATTTTCTACCGACTTCTGTTTTTTTTATGATGGTTCAGAATTACAGCAAAAAAAATGAACCGAAAAGTATTTTGGGCACATCATGATCAGAAAAGAATATTGAAAGTAAAGTAATATCAATATTTCATTGACATGTCATCTATGAATGGAATAATGTAATGTTCATCCTGTCACAGATTGTTTATTCAATAGAAAGTCAATGGGCAAGAAACCTTTTGGATCATGTCACATCACACATATAAAAAATATGAGTGAAAAAAACATAATGCAAGTCTATATGTTTATTTTGTTGTTGTTGCAATTTACAATCAATCAATCATCATGGTTAAGTGATTTAACTGCAAAAAAAATGTACTGGATTCACAAATGGATTCGCTTGAATGATCAATTTGATTTAAAGCAGCAATATTCTTTTGATTTGAATTCAAAGAAAATTTGTTTGTTTACTTTTTTTAATCATTCATGTTTTCATTGAGGAAAAAGAGAAAGAAAAACTTAAACACAAACAAAAACTTTATCTAAGAATCAAAGAATCCAGAATCAAAGATGATCCAGAAAAGAAACTATATTCAACATTCAAATCACATCACATAACATGAAAATGAATTATTTAAAACAACAAACAAACAAGGTGGATATAGTGGTCAAGATGATGATGATGATGATGACCAGATGAAATCAAAAATTCAAGGTAAGAAGAAAAAATTTTAATCAAAAAAAAAAACATTGAAAATTCACTTGGTGGAAAACAACCGAAAAGCAAAAAAAAAATAATCAAACATTATGAAGCGAAATCGTGCGAAAGACACAACGATGAAAACACGAGAGAATCAACAAGAATATGAATTCGAATGAAATTCTGTGTTGAACAACAACAACAACAACAACTGATACAACTGCGCAGATCGAATCAACAAAAAAAAAATAACAAACATATTGTATTCGATTCTGATTTTCCTTGTTTTTTCCGTTGTTTTTTGTTGCTGGCGGTCATATTCAATGATGGAATTAATTTGTTTAAAAAAACAAAGCAAACAAACAAAATCTTTGTTGATTCATTCGCCAAAGTTATTCTTTCTTTTTTTTAAAAAAACGATTGTTTTTTTTTAAAAAAAAGCTTTAATGATCATTCCATTTGCACGTATCCATCATTTGCATCTTGTAATCATCATCATTTCATTTCAGACGAATTAAAATCCTCGTCATCATCTGGCCGTCAATTTGGCAAAAAGAAAAAAAAATTTCCGAATCTTTCAACAGAAAAGTAAAGCAAGCAAATGAAAATGTAAAAAAAAGTTCAACACATTCATAAATCATTATGCATAAGTAGTATGTATTCTCACTACAAACAAACAAACAAATATAGACTTGCAAAGAAAGAAAAAAATTACAGCAAAGTTAAGTGCTCATCGAATTCATCAAAAACAAAAAAAAAACGAAACATTAATATTCTTTGGATGGGGCCCTTGTTTTGTGGTTTGTTTTTGTGGTAGTCTTTCAAGACAGAGAAAATAAATCTTAACCAACATTAAGGCGACCAATATTTTTTCTTTCTGGTTTTAGGAAAATAAATAAAATGTTCCATATATGAAATAAATTGAATAAATAAACAAAAAAAGATAGATAGATAATCCAATGGAATGATGATGATGGTAATTTATTTGGAATATTCATCACATTATTGAAAATATTCATTTCCGAATCCGAAATTTTCAATTCATTTTTCCTTGATTCAAGATTTTTTTTATTTTCATTTTTGATGATTTCTTTCGAAAGAATTCAGCAAATTCATATAGGCGTGCCACACACTATCCATAAAAATAATCCTGATCAACATATGATGGGCGTCATATGAATTTTTTTGAATGTTTAGAATTCAATTGCAGTTGCAACAAAGCTTTTTTGAATTTTTTTTTTCTTGCTAATTGAAAACTTGAAATGACAAAATCTCAATGAATAATTAGTTTCAACAAAAGATTAACCAAATAAAATATTTATCGACTTGGATTTAGAGCTACCAAAAAATATTCACAATGTTTTGCAATTAGATTCACATTAATCCTATGTGTGTGTGTGTGTGTGGTTTGATGATTTAATGATGATTGTTGTTGTTAAAAATAGAAACATGATTGCAATTGAATTTAACACCTGCACATAAAATTCATTTTGATAATGATCCGGAATCACGAATCAAAAATCATCATTTTTTTTGTTGTTGTTGTTGTTGCAGAAAATCTACCAAACAAAGTCAATAGATGACGCCTGTGATAGGTCCTTCCCCATCTTATTCCTGAAAGGAAATGAGATAAGCAAAATTTTTCCATCACCACCCCTCCATCACAAAAAAAATTGAAAAAAATGGAAAAGTTGCAACCGGAATCTAGTCCTGGACAACCATCAGGCTACTGTAAATGACAAAGTTAAATAATCAAATTCTGTTTGGTTACATTCATTCATCAATTATGAATGCAACCAAACAAAAATGAATATTAATGATTATTTTACCATACTTAAAAAAACGTTAATCCACCTTTTTGTTATCATTTCTTTCATTACAGCACAGGTAAATCTTCATTTTTTTCATATTCAATTTAGAAATTTAGGTGTCAAGCCAAAAAAAAAGAAAATTAAATTCTTTTCATGAATTATTATTTACCGGGCAATCTTTCAAACAAACAAACAATGAATTGCATCATTACACTTTTCTTAATTCTTTCTCGCTCGCTTGGCCATTGTATTCATCATAATCATCTTGAAAATTCTAAAGATTCTTTCATGGCATACGTGACATAGTTTTTTTTGTTTGTTTGGTTGGTTGGTGAGAATTCCATCACACACACACACACACCGACTAAACTGAAAGGATTTTGTTTTGGCTGAAAAATAAAATTTCAATTGAAACAATTATCTTCTTGGCATTCATGTCAGGTGCATTTTTCTTCTTCGATTGTTTACTGGATGAACGTGATTTCTCCAGGACCAGATTCTATTGTATGCTTGCGTATGTCAAACGTTTGAAACGAAACAAAAGTTTTGTTTTCGAGCACATCTTTTGTTCGGGCAAAGTAAATGAGAATTTGAATATTTGAAAAAAAAATTTTTCAGTGCCTGATTAATAAAATGAATGAATGAATATTCATCATTCTCGTTTAGTGTGATAAATTTTTTTTTCTTTCGTGTCAATTAATTCGTTTTTTTAAATAAAAAAAACATAGACAAAAAATGAATGAATGATGTGAATGGGAAAAAATTCCCTTCAACACACAATTTCAAATCCAATTTGGTTACCGAGGAAATTTTTTTTTTTGTCAAAACATTTTTAACATGAAATTTTTTTTTTGCATAAAGAGAAATTTTCCCGAAACAATGACTGAGAATAAAAATATTTCCGAAATAAAATGAGATACGGACATAGATAAAAAAAAGATGAAAGGATGAAAAAAAAAACAAAACTTACATGCAAAGATGATAGATAAATGCTTTCCATCCACGTGGTCTTTCCAAAAAATTATAAACAAATGATTGTGATTTACGATAACGTGGATCATGATGTCTATGTGGACCAGGTTTAATTGGTCTACCCAATAAACTTGTTCTTGATACTTCTGATGATGGTCGTGGTGTACAACCAAATGGACCATGTGACCGGGCATAACGCTCACCGGCCTCTAGTTGACGAAGTTCCAACAGGTCGGCTTCCGGATTACAATAATCAAATGAAGGCAGTTTGA